CGATTTTTTTTTATACTAAGTCTTGTAGACGGTCTAGATCAATCGTACGTTACTCTCTAGTATTTGTTATGCCGGGTATTTGTGACGATTTCACGTTTTGCTTCTCGACACCGAATGAGCAGCAGATTTACACTGCTCGCCTATGCAGTTCAATAATATAGTTCCGAGAGAGAGAGAGAGAGAGAGAGAGAGAGAGAGAGAGAGAGCCGTCGGGCTGGGCAACTGTAACGTGTGGGACATAGATCACGCGTCCAAGCCCTTTTCTATTGTGGAATAAAATCGTTATCGATTTACGAACCGATCATAACCGTGTTGTTCGCTGTTCTGTGCATAAATTCGAAAAAGATCACGCAGCCGGTTTGAACCCGCAAAAACTTCACATAACAAGGTTTTCGGCCCCCTGCCGCGCGCGCGCGGAGCTTTCAGTGTGCAGGATACGGGCTGCGTAGCAACCGTCACAACGCAGCTAGCTCTCTGTACGTACGCGCTTCAAGGATGGTTACCGCGCGTATTGCGCCGGCATCTCCCTCGTCCGCAGATGTTCGGCGTTGTAAACTTGCTGACGATCCCGTTGGGTGGCTTTCATCGCACCGCTCCGCTCCCGTCTGGGAGGTCTTAAAAATTGCCGGCTTGGGTGTAGTATTGGTCGAACGAATATAAGCTAGACGGTGTGCGCGCGTGCGTGCGTGCGTGCGGTGGTGGGGTGCGAGTGAGGCAGTCGTTCCCAGCGGCGTAGAATATTAGTAGTGCATTGTAATCACAGGCACTTGGGACAGAGTCAGTAAAAACTGAAAATAATATGAACGCACATTCACAAATAGGCCCTACTACCGTACCTCTCAATTACAGTTCCACTGTTGCGTCACTGTATATCAACTTTCCTTCATAAAAACTAACGCCGAACGCTCCCGCACTCGCCGCTGCGAGTGTGCTGTGTCGCCATGATAATATATATATATATAAACAAGAGCTAATAATACCTATATTTCAAGAGGTATTATTAGCGCTTGATGTATATATAAAGTATACTTTATATATATATTATCAAGAGCTAATAATACCTAGAGTGTACAACGGAAAAACGGGAAAATAGTGCTATTTCACGACTACATTATTAGCTCTTGATATTATCAAGAGTGCATAATAGAGATGCACTCTTGATATGATCATGGCGACACAGCACACTCACAGCGGCGAGTGCGGGAGCGTTCGGCGTTAGTTTTTATGAAGGGAAGTTGATATACAGTGACGCAACAGTGGAACTGTAATTGAGAGGTACGGTAGTAGGGCCTATTTGTGAATGTGCGTTCATATTATTTTCAGTTTTTATTGACTGCCCCAAGTGCCTGTGATAATTACAGCCGCTGCATTCATAGTTTGCTAACACCTTCATAACAATGAGTGCCGCCGAGGAAGAAGGTGCTAGTTGCGCCTTATGCTCAGGGTCTATGTCCCCCATGGTACTGCCGGAACGTACCCTGGGTACGGTCCGGTATACCGGAACGTACCCTGGCCACTATTTGATATGGTTAGGGTTAGGATTAGGGTTCGGGTTAGGGAGTAGGCGTAGGCGACTCCCTAGACTCGTTAGTGGAGTAGGCGAGGTACGGTTCGACATATTAGATAGTACCAGGGTACGTTCCGGCAGTACCCCGGGGGACATCTCTCAGCGCTACTTATAGTGCCTCAGCTGTCACACAGGGTTGCGTAATGCGGATTTAATGTCTGTCTGACATGCAACAGGAGTAGAGTGTCTGCATGAGCACTAGCTGGGGCATGCTGGCTGGGGGTCTGTTGCTATATAGCCGAGTGCCTACATTCGTGGGAATTGAGTAAATATTATATAGTGATCGCTGCTAGAATTACTAATGTAATTTATGCTTCGGTTGAAAACAGGTTTGCCGTAATGTTTTTTGATCACTGATCGTTCATTTTTATGCCGATGAAGCGTTTGTCGCCGCAATATAAATCTATAATCCATTGTAATATACAAACCAACGCCATTTTATAACCATACCTAGCCATTCGCAGACATTTTCTCTACACGGATGTCTCGAGTTTGCATCGTCTCACTTATGTATCTTATATATATTATATAATTACCCCCATATCTAACCCTCGTAAACGCACAGAGCGTGGCGACCTGTGCCAGCAGACACGGCTGTCCCGCCACTCGAACTAACGACCCGATGGCCGCGGTCGTGCTTTACTTTGAGTAGACACAGCAGTGGGTATCATGACTAGACTGGAGGCGATAGCGCAGCTAGACGTTGCCATGATTAGCTTGATCGTCTGGTGGAGGATGTGGTCGCTCGGCTACGGCGTGTTTTTGCTTCCCGCGCATGCTCGTTGGACCAGCGCCTATATACAGTAGCGTGCTGTACGGAGTATATAAATTATATATATATACTCGTTAATATCAGTAGATGAATTATGATTTAGATGACGCATCGGCGTAAAGCGATATTGATACGCAGTTTATACGTCGACAGAAGCTAGGTCAAACGCACGTTACGGTTTCTACTCTTTCACGCGCGCGCTTCTTACACACACGCATGCACGCACGCACGCACGCACGCACGCACACACACACACACACACACACACACACACACACACACACACACACACACACACACACACACAGCACACGACGCGCGCGCGCGCACACACACACACACACACACACACACACACACACACACCACACCACCCACACACACG